AGCTTTTTAAGATCCAGATACATCTTATCTGAACCTGGGTGGACGGAATACCGAGTGTTGTGCGCCTCGGTCATGACCAAGTCTCGGAAACCACCGTGTTTCGGTGTCCAGATCCGATCCATGAAATATAAGGCTCCGTCACCCTTGGCTTCTAAATTCTTGTCCATTCCTCTGAGGGATTCACTCGTCACATTTTCAGGTTTCATGGCTTCAAGTTGGGCCGCCTGAATTTGATTAGACAAGTGTGAATGGATGGTTATTGACAATGACTTGATTTTGCGACCAGAATATTCCTTCCGACTTAGGGCGTCTGCTACTACGTTGGCTTTACCCGGATGATAACGAATATCGCATTCGTAATCACTGAGTAGCTCGACCCACCGTCGTTGTCTCATGTTGAGCTCCTTTTGATCGAAAATGTGTTGTAAACTCTTGTGGTCGGTAAAGATAGTGCTCTTCGTTCCATACAAGTAATGTCTCCAGATCTTCAGAGCAAACACCACTGCTCCTAGTTCAAGATCGTGGGTCGTGTAGTTAACCTCGTGTGTCTTCAACTGTCTCGAGGCGTAGGCGATGACCTTACCTCGCTGCATCAAACACACCCGAGCCCTTGGTTCGATGCATCGCAATAGACTACGAAGTCTTCTATCCTTCGGGAAGGGATAGTATTGGTGCGGTGCACAAGGCTCGTTTGAGCGTTTGGAACGCTCTTTCTTGTTTCTCTTCCCAGTCAAAGGCCACGCCTTTCTGGGTCAGGGTTGTAAGAGGTTTCGCTATTCGGGAGAAGTTCTGAATGAATCTGCGGTAGTAGCCAGCAAGACCTAGAAATTGACGAATTTCTGTCGGCGTCTTAGGTGCTGACCAGTTCTCAATGGCTTTAATTTTGGATGGGTCCACGTGGATTCCCTCTTCGCTTACCACGTGTCCTAAGAATTCGACTCTCCGGATCCAAAATTCACATTTCTTGAACTTCGCATAAAGCTTCTCTTTTCGTAATGTCTCTAGAACTTGTCGCAGGTGATCGCCATGCTCTTTCTTACTTCGGGAGTAGATCAGGATGTCGTCAATGAAAACGATGACGAACTGATCCAAATAAGGTCGGCATACTCTATTCATCAGATCCATGAAGACTGCGGGCGCATTGGTCAATCCGAATGGCATCACCACGAACTCGTAATGTCCGTAACGAGTTCGGAAGGCTGTCTTCGGCACATCCTCCTCTAGCACTCGTAACTGGTGATATCCGGATCTCAGATCAATCTTAGAAAAATAGTTCGCCCCTTGCAGTTGGTCGAATAGATCATCTATGCGAGGCAGAGGGTAACGATTTTTGACCGTTAGTTTGTTGAGTTCTCTGTAGTCAATACACATACGGAATGATCCGTCTTTCTTCTTAACGAACAAGACCGGTGCTCCCAAGGTGAGAAACTCGGTCTTATAAAGCCCTTGCTGAGTAGTTCGTTAAGTTGACCAGAGAGTTCCTGCATCTCAGCTGGTGCTAAACGGTAGGGCGACTTGGCTACTGGGGTAGCTCCTGGGACTAAGTCGATTCTGAACTCGACCTGTCGTTGCGGAGGTAACCCGGGTAGTTCTTCTGGGAAAATGTCGGGGAAGTCGCTCACTACAGGGATGTTCTTTAGTCTTTCGTTTCGAGGCTCGTGTCGACGACGTGAGCAAGGAATGCATGGTATTCCTTACGCAGATACTTCTGTGCTTGAATACTTGATATGATGCGAAGACTTGCACCGGGTTTGTCGCCATAGACTATAAGAGTTTCGTTAGACGGAAGGTTTAGACGGACTGCTTTCTCGTAGCACATGATGTCGCGCGATGAAGGCTTAACCAATCCATGCCAATGATAACGTCGAAACTTTTTATTGAGACTGGCATGAGGTCGATTGGGAATGAATGGTTATCTAGAGTTAGGGTACAACCTAAGTATATGCTACTCGTACTTTCAGTTTTTCCATTAGCCATTTCTACTGTGAATAGTTCTTTGAGTGCGTGCGGTGGTTGATTAAGCATGCGAGTAAATTTATGGTTTACGAAGCTTCGCTCCGCTCCACTATCGAATAGAATGCATGCATAGGAGTCATCGAGGAGGAACGTACCAGTCACCACTGTCGGGTCAGCAACTGCTTCCCGTGGCCTATCGCTAGTACCCTCCCTGCTCCGCCAGCATTTTTCGCCTTGGGGCAGTCCCTCTTATAGTGGCCTGTTTCGCCACATCCATAGCAGGTCGGGCTCGCGCCAGAGCCGGGGACTTGGGCGATCGGTCTCGCCGGAGATTTACAGAAACGGACTGTGTGTCCTCTCCTGTGGCAGTTAGAGCACTGCATTTCATGGCAGGGGCCATTGTGGTGGTAGTTGCATTTGTTGCACTTGGGCGAACTTCCAGCATACCCACCCACCGGAGTAGTAGTAGCAGCAGCAGGGGTTATTGCGGCATGTATTGCCACAATTTGCTGCTTTTTGGCAGCCTGTTGCTTCTTCTTTTCATCCCAGAATTTCCGCTTAGTATCAGCGGGTTTGGAGAGTTCCGGGATGGCTAGGGTGGTTGTGGTTGCAGGGGTTTTGACTCCATGGTCAATGAGTCGTTGTGCCAATCGTTTGGCACTGTCGAAGGTAGCGGGGTTTGATGCTAGAACATTCCCCTGATACGGAGGCACAAGCCCCCATATGTATCTTTCGATCTTTTTCCCTTCAGTGGGAACCATATTAGGGCAGAGGGCCACCAGTTCGCTGAATCTGGCGGTGTAAGCGACAATGTTGGTGCCCTTCATGGTCAGGCTCCAAAGCTCCTGCTCTAGTTTCTGAATCTCGCCCCTCGGGCAGTATTCCTCAATCATGAGGTCTTTCATCGTTTCCCAGCCTATGTCGTTGGCTACGACAAGAGTTAGAGATTTAACGTGGCCGTTCCACCACGTCAGGGCCTTTCCTTCAAAGGTGCATGCGGCATATTTCACTTTGCTCGCAGCAGGGCATGAACATATTTCGAAGACCGCTTCAGTCTTCTCGAACCATTGCGAGAGCAATGACTCCGCCGGTCCCATGAAAGGACTTCGGCTTGCAGTTGGTGAAATCCTTGTAAGAGCACTCTCTCGAGCGCACAGGGGTTTCAACCGGGATTGATTCCACAGGGGTTCCACCTCTGCTGGCATCAGAAGAGTGATACTGAGCCATGGCAGTTGCCACTGCTGCAGCTACGGCAGCATTTAGGGCTGCAGTATCGATGACCGGAGGCGGAGGAGGTGGTGGTGCAGGATTATTCCTGGGAGATTTGCGAGGAGGCATCTTTCAGCTATAAGTTTATAAAGGTAAGAAAAATGGTAAGAATCATTTTGTAAGCAACGTGAGAGTGATACATGGACTAACTAACCATAGCCCAACAGTTGAATGAGTGTTTGAAATCACAACAAGAAATATTAGTAGGAAAACACAAGTGTATAGATTTTTCCCACAATTTAGATAGATTTCAATAATACTGGTATTACTGATGTAATAAGTTCAAGGAAAAATCGACCTAACAGTAGGTCTTACATCATACCATATAGAAAAGTTTGACAGTTCTTAGATTCCTAATTAGAGTACTGAAAGTTAGGAATATTTTACAGACAAGTGCTACTTAGAGCACAGATGTTAAAGGCTAATCCTTAACCCTAAAGATAATGATGTACTAGACATCATCTAACGGCGATGAATATTCCTCGGGAGAACCCTAAGGTCTCTCATTTGACGGACCACCTCTTGAAGGTGTTGCTCATGAGCACTTTGACGAGCTCGGAGTTCCATGACTTCAGCTTGAGAGGCAACCAGATGTTGCTGTAGGGTTTCATTGGTTCTCCGGGTCCGTTCCATGTCTTCTTCAAGACGGCGGATGCGGACTGTGTTGACACCTGAGTTGGCATCAATCTCCATGACCCGGTCGATGGCTGCTCTACCTTGCTCGACATTACGAGCTATTCTGCGGATAATGACAGGCAGGGCTCGGTCAGCAGAGCCACCATTGCTGACGTTGTAAAAGCTTCGGTCCCCAAAGTATGGTAAGGGTTGACCCTGTTCATCACTCCAACGATTCAAGTTGTTTGCCCATAAGGGAGTAGGACCTGGAAAAGCTGGTCGAGGGTTGTTGTTCGGGGGTTGACCTACGAGCGGTAGGTTGTTGACTTCAGGCTCAGAGTCTGATCCATCTGAGAAGCCTTCAGCTTGATGATCATCCAACGGAATTTGGTGTTCATTGTCAGACTCTGCTTCGAGCATTCCTATGTTGCCTTCATTTGGAAAGTACGGGTCGTCGTGATGGAATCCAGCCATTTAAATCTACGCGAGAAGAGAGGTATAAAGATATAGTATGTATGTAGTTAATAGCACAAAATACACCTATAGTATTTTAAGTTTAAGTTCCACTGATCTTTTTGTGGCATTGTTGGTAAGTTTTTAGACTTGTTAACACATCACAACTATTCTAGGGCATATGCTAATCACTCCTCGGACCAGCATAGTTGATCAGGCTATGCCATTCCCAGGACTGACCATACATCCCCTAGCTTACCTGTGATATTTAACAATCGTAATACTCTTGTTCTTGTCGTTGTGACACTGGTTTTAGTATGAATGCAGACTAGTATACTTAATTAACTATTTTAGTATTTAAAGTATAGACTCTTGGTCAGAGTGTTTTAATCCCAAATGGGTTTATAGTTTAGTATATCTTTTATGGGTTGATATACTTGCTTCACTATAAACAATGCTCTGATACCAATCTGTCACACCCCAAAACCAAGAATGGCGGAAACGTTCTGGGGCGGAGGACGTCATGTAAAGTATCACAACACAGTAAATGTAAATAAGCAAACAACATCATCCATTGCATTAAATATAAAATTTTAATACAAGCGTGTTCCGTACAGTTTTAGACACCAAAAATATAATTTAAATCAAAATAGTATGATGAGTCTTGAATGCGCTCCATCTTCTCAAAAGCTAGCATCGGTACCTGACTACTGATGACCTGAGAATACAAGTTATTTTGAAAGAGTTTATCAGCATTAAGCTGGTGAATTCATAAGTATTTTAGTGTCGAGGTTTGTTATCAAAACGTTTGAACCTGTCGCAAGTATGAGTTGTAAATGTATGTAAGTGTTTGTAAAAGTTTGAATCTCTCAGAAAAACCTATATTTTCTGTTAAAGTAGCCCTCTACCAAGGCTTAACTGTTTTGTATGCTCGTTTGATGTAAAAGTGTGTAATTTCCCAAGTGTAACTATCATTTAACAAAATATAGTTTGTACATTAAAGTTTAAGTGAGGTTATCACCAAAATGTAATGGGTAAATTATTGTAGTACGGTAGTTTTGTTTTATATGAACTACTGCTGTACTAACTACCTTAAACCGGGTTTATATTAAGGTATCGTGTGATAAATTGCACCATACTATCGACTGGTAACATCGACAACGTATAGTCGAAAAATAAGGTATGACGTTTGGCACCCGCAGACCTGTCGGTCCCACTGTAGCTAGCAGCGAGGTGTAGGATAGTCAATCCAGTATAGATCTATACGCAAACTCACGCTCTCCCTCCAAGAGACTCTGGCTACAACTCGGGTCATGTCAATTAAGACATGCTCCCATACAGTGGATCACAATTGTTAACGTATTCGTGTATATGCAATATAATGTTACTTGTTCTAGTATCGTTGTATATGTTCTCTTAGTAATAAGTATTGACTCCTGAATGAACTGACTCGTTGATCTAGAAATTGTAGTAGTATGATCCCGTGTTACCCCGATGGTAACTTACTAACGAGGTGCTGATAAGTATGAATATGGAAGTACTTTTATGTCAATACATGTATATATGATATATAACTAATATTGAAACGACCCTCGGATGGTCACCCAAATTCCACCAGACCACATCCAAATCGAGGAAAAGGAAATAGGACAGGTGGCTTTCCTAAGCCCTTTAAACATTATTTATACAGCTATACATATATGGGCATGCAAATTTATAGGTAGTAAAACAAAGTTTACAATAAAGCATTTGATAAGTAAAAGAGTTTGTAAAACATTTTGAAGTAAAACAGTTTGAACAGTGATAAAATCATTGGTTTCCTAGTTATTAATCACATGTGATCGAAGCAATAACTATAAGTGTTTAACGTGTATTCCCCCCCCCCCATAAAGTATTTAAAACATTTAAAAGCATTTCAAAGGTTGAATAAAGGGGTATGAACTCACTTGGAAGTTTGAAGATAGCGAGATCGAAAACCGGGCAGAGTTTCGTCTCGGGAAACGGATTTTTCTCGGGATTCTCGGAATCTCGGGAGTAAAATCGACCTCGGGACTTGAGCAAAAAGACCAGAGCTTCGGGTTTGAACGGGCACGGAAATCGAGGCAAGATCGTGAAGAAAGAGAGAAAATGAACAAATTTTTCGGAAAGGCTCGCATCCCTTTTATAGGGGTGCTGAACCGCCTCCGAACGCGGGGCGTACGGGCGTACGCAGCGCGTACCCGTACGTCATCGCTTACGTATTTCGGATGGAGCGGGTCGGATGGGACGGCGGGTCGGGTAGCTTCGCATAGGGCGACGTGGACGATCCGAGGCCGTGCCCTCGAGTACGCGGGGGCGTACGAGGGTACGCGGCGCGTACCTCGGCCCTAGGCTGACTCCTCTTCGGATAATACCGAATTTTTAATAAAAATTATATATAAATTATTTATCAAACTTCAAAAATTCATATCTCCTTCATACGAACTCCGTTTTCGACGTTCTTTATATCCCCGCGAAGGTGAGACTACAATCTACAACTTTCGTTTAGATTTCGTTGGCAAATTCCGAAATTATTTTTATTATTTATTTATTAAAATGACGTGATTAAAGAATTTCTTTAAAAATTCATAACTTCTTTATCTGACGTCGGTTTTTGCCAGACTTTTTACCGTTGAAATACTATTGTCGAGACCTTCGATTCTCGTTTAGGTCATCCCGGCCAAATGTCGCTCGATCTCCGTTTCGAGTTTTTAGCTGTCTGTTGCTAAGCTGAACTTGGAAAAATCATAACTTCAATATACGAAGTCGGATTTGGGCGTTCTTTTTACGTACGATCATGGTTTAATGAGATTTAAACATAGAAGAATTTAAATAGAAACTTTTTGGACATTTTATTATCAAAGTTAATTTTATTAACTCAAAAATGTTTACAATACTTGACCTATTAGGCCATTACAAAGAGTTGAAATATCGGGTTGTCACAGATCATTTGTTAAAGAATGAAACAATATGTTTTATTTTCATCATCAGCAAGAAATAGCAATAAAAAAAGACAGATTTTTTTGTTCACGAGGAAACTTACATACTGTACAATTCCAATTTTGATGATTTGATGGAGCAAAATCTACAACAAAGGTAGAAAAATATATACCTGTAGAAAAAATATCAGAAAAAGTTATTTGTATGAAATCATATAAGCTTTAAATAAAAAACATAAGTCTTGCAACAAATTTTGTGTTTGTTACTAAAGATGTGGCTGAAGCTTTAGCTGCACTGATTCTATGATGGAATCGAAACCAACAGCAGCAGGGACAGGCAATACAAATCGAAATCACTTGAGAGAATCAGATAAATAGAAAATTAAAATCAGACACCCAAAATTAACAGTCTAATAGTGTTTGTTGTCAAATGTGATGTTGCAATTTTCAATACTTCAAAATTGTTATTATCCTACAATAAATAGTTGTAGGTAGTCATTCCATCAATAGTAGACATAAAATTCCAAGTAGAAAGGAAGGACAAAAATTACAAAAAATTTCTATATTAATAACGATAATAGTAATTTTACTTGTAACAAAAACAAAATATTAAAAAAAATGAGACCAGAATCGTCTGTGGTGCAACTATTTTCCTGCTAGTCAAATGTGTATCAAAAAGAGTCATCAGCACAAACAAATTAACAATAACAAAAAAAGGGTCAAATTTTGAGAAAGAAAAATAGATGATTTACCTGTAAATTCAATCGCTTGTTTTTGGCTGCCATCAGATAGAATCAAATGAGTCTCATTAGATAGAAGATCCTACAGGAAAGAAGTGAAAGCAACAAACCCTCACAATCCAATGAAGACGATGCAATGTACTGTTCGTTCGGTGAAAATTCAAAACCTAGAAAAATGAGATTATAGATGAAAAAAGATCAACATATGACTAATAGCCCCTTTCAATCAAAAGATATTAAAGGAGAGACTAAAGAGCCAGTACCAGTTGATCAAAACCATGACATCTTTTGTGTGCCTAGTCAATTTGTTCATGATTGAAGGTGGATCATAGAAGGTTTCTCATAGGTCAAACTCATTTGTTACTTTAAATTTCACATAAATGAAGCATATGCAATTTTAGTGGAGTGATATAGCTCTCTAATTCAATTATTAATTATGTAATTATAACACCATTAATGAACCATACTTGAACAGCGACATTGCTTAGCATTTTAAGTAAATTGGAAATTGACAATCAAGATTAGTGAATAGAAGCTGTTTCATATCCAACCAAAGCATGTTCACCACCACTGGTCAAACAACTGCACAAAAATCTGTGTAAACCTGCAAACAATGAATTATGACTTTTTTTCAATCGCATGAACAAACAAACACCACCATAGCCTGTAATCAGTTTACTTTTTACACTGGATTTTTAAAAAGTAATAAATTAAAATGTAAAGTAGGAATTTGAATTATTTACCACTTCGGTTAAAAACAGAATAGATGTGATTTAAGAATAACTAAATTTAACAATATCTTATCTGAAACCACCACATGCAACAGAACACAAAGTGAAATTCGTCGATTTTAAACCCTAATTTGAAGGAAATCGAAGTTATTTAACAACATAATTGTATAATTTGAACTGTATGTGTTACCTTCGCTTAATAGGCGAGGTAGACGTCCCTGAATTTGTCGATCCACGACATTGATTTGCTTCCCAAGAAGAACATACGGTTGAAGTACAACAGATTTCGGTGGTTGATTGGAACTCATCTTCAATATCTCCTCAGTTTCGAACTGGGTTATGCAAGAAGGCGACAGAGCAGGTTGTTTGGAGGGCATCGTCGGTGAGATTTCGTGAGTGCAATGAAATCTGTAAACAACTGATTGGGAGGTAGAAGGGGCAGAAGTATATGAAGCACGAAAAATGAATCGAAATTGAAAGAGGAAAAACTGGGTAGCGGTACCTGAGATGTTTCTTAAAACCAAAATCGAAACCTACTATGTGGAAAAAACGGTTTGAAAGAGAATGAGATGGAAGACGACTGTAAGCCCACCTACCAGAGAACAATGACAAACGTTTCAGGTGACTCTTCTGTGGTGGAAGTGGAGTGGCCAGCGCCGGTTATAATGGAATCAAAGAGTCGAAGAGCAGATTCGGTAGTGGGGGTCGACGATTCTAAAACTCGCTTTCTAGGGAGCTTGTTGGTGGCATGTGGACACATCCGGTTCGACATTCTGTGCAAGAAGCAAAGAGTTGTTGGTCGTTTGAGAGGAGCGAAAGCAAGAAGATTGTAGAAGATACCGGATGAGAGAAACATTGGAGTAAAGGTATGGATAGAGTGGAGACGGTGGATTGGATGGTTGTGGCGATGACGATCGGAGGAAATAGGAAAAAGAACAGAATGTTTGGATAAGGAACGGTGGAAGGAAGAAGGATCGATTACCTACGGGTGTGGGGCTAATGACCGGTAAATCGGAACTATTCATAAAGATGGTCATCTTTAATATATATAAGAATTCTCAACATTATTTTATAGTTATGAAATACTTATAATAGTTTTGTTTTAAGAAAATAGAAAATAATTTTAAAAAATATATTACTTTATTTTAAGTTTCTTGGTTAACCATTTCATATAAAATTCTAAACTAACAATATATTATTGTTTTATATCGATAAAAAATATCTCAGATTATTTTACTTTAACTTTGTAAATTATATAAAGTATAATTGGATATTTTCATATATTTGTTTATTCCATAGTATCTATGGTCTTTTTCAATATTATATTAAAATCTATTTAAGTAGTAAAATACTATAAAAATATATAAGAAAAAATGAAAGTGGATGCTATAGTTGCACACACTAATTGATAACAAAAACTTTTATTTTTATTACATTTTCACGTAAAATGTCTTCGTAGTTTAGAAAGCAACATTTTAGCCCAAAATTTAACAATTACGTTCCTAACTCCATAAGCTTATGCAATGTTGTAGTTTTTGTTGGAATAGTGTCTAAGGCTGCAATTATATTAGGCAAGTATTTGATCCGATTGGGCATGGTCCTTTTGGGTTGCCTTCACCATAGCAACTTGATAGGATGATTTATTAAGAAAGAGTAAATATTATTAGTATATTATGAGAATAATATAAAGAATAATATATAGTTATTTGATTAATATAAGTCATAGATTAATTAGCATTAATTTGGTGACTTAAGGAGATTAATTAAATAAGAGGGTATAAACTGTCAATTGTTTGATAGTTACACTTTAGACTGTAAATCCTTATTGGATAGAGGATGGACGAATTCTAGGGCTTGGGATAGCCTCAAATTGTTATTACACCTAAATAGTTTGATAGTTACACTTCAACATTGTTATTACACCTAAATAGTCATTAGAAGTCTTGGATTCAAAGCATGTTTGATTAGAAAGCCTAGATCCAAGCATTAGGGTTTTGCATGCGCACATAGGAAAGTTCTTATGGCTAAAACCCATCAGTGGTATCAGAGCCTAGCTTGGTTTTCATTGAATTGTTGCTTGATTGTATGAAACTAAACTGAAAATTTTGATTTTCATGTTTCTGAGTCATGGACTCGGCGAGTTCCAAAGTGGACTCGGCGAGTAGGCCTGACTCGGCAAGTCCCTTTGTGTACTCGGCGAGTCCGAGCGTCAGGATTAGCCAAAAACGGGATTTTTTCCTGTTTATCTTATGGAAACTTACCTTAATCATATTAGATCAACCCTAATCCGATTTTGTGATATATATGACTATATTTTTGATCTAATTGAAGATAATTATCAATTAATAAAATATTTGATTTCCTTATATGATAATTATTAATCAAATATAGATAATTATGTGATTTTGATTATTTATTATTTGATCCTTTATGTTTTAAATGTATAAAACTTGTCCTCAAGTTTTGAAATTTATGTTTTGTGATTAAAATTTTAATTTAGACAATTTAAATTTCAAACCCTAGAATTTTACAAGTTTAAAATACAACCCTATACTAATATAATATTACAAGATTAATATATATATATGTATAACTTAAATGCTAGTCTTACCGTTAGTAGGCCTCATTCACGAAGTCGGTCTATAAGGTGGGTATAAGGTTGCGGCCTATAAAATGGCGCTTAATGGGTGTACACTCACACCCACCGCTCGCTTGATTGGTGGAGGGTCGTTAGCCGAACGGGTAAGATAGGGCAACCTCATCCTCTCATTAAAAGTATAATAAGAAATACAAAGTAAATACATGTTTTATTAAAATTTCCCAATCTTAGTTACTTTAGGAAAAGTGAATTGATGCAATCCCATGAAATTACACTTTACACCTTGCTAAGAAGTTAGTGGAGCGTGTGTGGTTTACCGGCACACTAATTGGTTCTAAGCGAAGGTGGCAAAGGGTGATTCATTGTTTATCATAGTTCGATGGAGCGTGTGTGGTTTACCGGCACATCGAATAGGTGATCGTTACAATGAAGGCACCATGTGAATTTGCATGGTAATTCACACCCGCTTTGTGATCCTCGGTATCCCAATCACAAACAAGAGGGGCATATCGAGATTTAAACATGTCATTGAAAAGTTTCAATGAATCTCATCCGAACCTAGGAATTCTGAATACATTAAGGAGTAAAGCTATGTTTTTCATGGTGGAGAATTAGTGAATCGTCATTCACTTACCTTCAAATTGTTTGCATATTAGATTACGGCACCCCTTTTCTAATGTGTAAATATTGTTGTTGGATCCTAGCCCTAATTCTTCTTATTGGGTGATAATTAGGGATTCATATTCTAATCTATCTTTGTCCTTTCTATTTGTAGATGTCGAACGCTAACAATGCTGCTGCAAGTTCTTTCACTTTGATGAGCCTTTGTCAAAAGGTCACCTTTGATGGAACGAACTTTAGCGAATGGATAAGATACATTCGCACGATTGCTCGCTATGAGGATAAGGAGTATGTCCTCGATGAGAAGCTCGAGAAAATCAACCCCGAAATCGCTACTCCCGCCGAAATCACCGCTTTCGAAACTTACGAGCGTGATGCAACGAAAGTGCATTGCATCATGATCGCGACTATGAACTCCAAATTCCAAAAGTTCTACGAGGACATGTATTCGTACGAAATGCATCAAGACTTATTGGAGCGATACCATCAAAACGCGAGACAAGAGCGTTATGAGATTTTCACGAACATGATTTCCGCTAAGATGGGTCATGGAGAATCTCTTATCGTGCACTTGCAAAAGATGCAAAGGTATGTCGACCGCCTTCGCAAGTTAAATGTTGACTTTGGGGAAGACTTGGCGATCGACATGGTGCTTCACTCTTTGCCTCCGAGCTACAATCAATTTAAGATGACCTATCACATGAATAAAGAAGAGGTCACCCTAAGCAAACTCCAAGGTCTCTTGAGGGTCGCTGAGAGCAACTTCAAGGACAAGTCTGTTGCACCAACTCCCAATCCGCCCGCTGCTCCTGTCTTGGCAATAGGACAAGGAAAAGGAAACAAGAGGAGGCTTCGTCAAAGAACCATCGCAAGGTGAAAGCCCGAGATGGTGCCTCTTCTAGTGGGACCAAAGTTGATCCCGCTAAGCCCTGCTCTAATCCAAAGGAGGCAGAGTGCCACCACTACCACAAGATAGGACATTGGAAGAGAAGCTGCCTAGAATACCTGCAAGCCATCAAGGAAGGAAAGATCAAGCCATCTTTCTCAGGTATATATACAATTAAATCTAATGATTCCCACAATTCTTCTTGGGTTCTTGATACCGGTTGTGGTTATCACATTTGTTCTAATGTGCAGGGACTAAGAAGAAGTAGAGACGTGGAGCATGGAAGAATAAATCTAATCATGGGGAACAGAAGATCGTCGCCTGTGACCAAGATTGGAGTGTATTCTTTAGTGCTTAGGAATAGTTCATCTTTAGATTTGAACAATTGTTTCTATTCGCCAGAAATGGCTAGAAACATCATTTCTTTTCATGGTTTGTTTAGACAAGGTTTTAGATTTTCTTTTAATAATGAGAATGGTTCTATTTTAGCTTATCTAAATGGTGTCTTTTACTTTGAAACTATACCATGTAATGGAATTTATGAAACTGTTATGATTGTTGATAACTTAGGAAATGATGTTTTGTACTTGGATTCTTCCAACAGTATGGATAAAGCATCCTTATGGCATTGTCGTCTTGGACATGTCAACAAGAAACGCATAGCCCAACTCCAAAAGGATGGAGTGTTGGAGTCATTCGACCTTAGGGAAGATGACACATGCGAGTCTTGTTTACTTGGAAAGATGACTAAGTCACCCTTTGCTGGTACGTACGAAAGGGGTGAGGGTCTATTGGACCTCATACATACCGATGTGTGTGGACCGTTTAGATCTACCACGAAGGATGGTAACCGCTTCTACGTGACTTTTACCGATGACTATAGTAGATATGGGTATATCTACTTAATCAAGCAAAAGTCAGAAACTTTTGAAAAGTTCAAAGAGTTCAAGAATGAAGTGGAGAATCAATTGGGCAGGAAGATCAAGATGCTTCGATCCGATCGAGAAGGAGAGTACCTAAGTCTTGGATTCCACAATTATCTCAAGGAGTGTGGAATAGTTTCACAATTGACGCCACCTAGGACACCACAATTGAATGGTGTGGCAGAAAGGCGTAATCGAACCTTGTTGGACATGGTTCGCTCTATGATGAGTCGTGCTTCACTATCTATCTCTTTTTGGGGGTATGCCTTAGAGACCGCCGCCCATATCCTTAACCGAGTCCCTACTGAGAAGGTTGCCAAAACACCTCACGAGATGTGGACGGGGAAAGCTCCTTCGTTAGCACATATCAAGGTTTGGGGTTGCGAGGCTTTCGTAAGACGAGATACTCACGACAAGCTCGAACCTCGTAGTGAGAGATGTATTTTCATCGGCTACCCGCAGAAATCCTTTGGATATCTCTTCTATAGACCGAAGGACAATGTTGTCTTTGTTGCAAGGAGAGGAGTTTTCCGAGAGCGAGAACTCATAGGCCAAGGAGATAGTGGGAGGCAAATCAATCTTGAAGAGATTCAAGAGTCGATAGATGAAGGAACCTCAACCGATGGCACTCAACCCGAGGAGGAAACTCCGATTGAACCGATTGACATATCATTACCTCTTAGACGTTCCGAGAGAGTTAGGTTTCAACCCCAGTTGTATGGTTTTCATATTACTACCGAAGGGGACACGTATATTAGTGATAGTACATTAATAAATCTTGATGAACCTAATAGCTATAAGGAAGCCATGGCAGGCCCGGAGTCTGCGAAATGGAAAGAGGCAATGGATAGCGAGATCCAATCCATGTATGATAACCAAGTTTGGAATTTGGTTGATAATGTGCCTGGACGTAAGACAGTTGGGTGCAAATGGATCTTCAAGAAGAAGACCGACGTGGATGGAAAAGTACACACGTTTAAAGCGCAACTTGTTGCG